GGTCATGATCTGCTTTGAATGTATATGTCACTCAAATATGAACGGAACGGGGACGTGTCATTGACAATGACTTGTTTTTTCTGAGGTGGTCCTCGAGTATAAGCCCACTCCTTATTTTTTCCGATTTTACATGTTCAGGCTCCTGGGCTTATGCTCGGGGAAGTACGGTATATACATGGTACAGTGGTGCACGTCTTAGCAACGTCAAACATCTTTTGATGTACATGTAGCTACGCCCCGAGGATATGTACATGTATAAGCAGTGCAAACACAAAAATGACAGGTTGTACTATATGTATAAGCATAAAAGATTCAAACAAATAAACTCAACCAAACAATGTTGATAAAATTGCACTATGGAACAATTTTTCTTGAACTAACAATGGTAAAGGTTTTTTAGACATTGGAAATTACTTGTATATTAATAATGTAAAATGACTAATTTTACATGATTTACCATTTCAGGCATATTCAGTCTGTGTTAAATTCACGGTTTTATCATTTAGATAAAGTGTTCTAGGCTAAATTTTACATATCCACTGGGTTTTAATTTAGCGCATTTTCCAGTCAGCGAAATAAGCAAAATTAAAACCCAGTGAATAATTAACCCTTTTACAGTATACATTATTAGTCATATTGAACACTTATTTCTTGTGTCGGAAATGTATGGTTTACATTTATTTATAAATGAGTTTATTATTCTTTCTATGCAGTGCTCGAACTACCCGTTCCTACAATGGGTAAAGTGAAAAGTGTTGAAGACTTTATTCCTAGTGATCAAATAGACAGTAGCTTTCTGGAAGACACTGGCAAAACTAAGTCATCTGGGACTAATCAAATAGTGAACAAAGACAATGTCGACAGTGATGAGTAAGTCGTTTATGACAAGTCTTCTCAAAGTGTTACTGTAGAATACTTTATTTTCGCTTGGAATTTAAAATAATTGAAAATTTTTCCTATATTTCACATTCAACTCGTCAAAAATCAGTGAAAATAAATTCCATAAAGAATGCCCAAAAAGCCTTTTCAGCGAAAATTAATTCCAACGAAAATAAAGTATTCCACAGTACATGGTGTATACATATCTGGTATCATACCATACTGTGCGACTTCCACTTCTGCCAGTCACAAATTCATTTAAATTTGGCCAGCAAGAATTATGTCACTTTTTGCCACCCAAAAAATATACTATAATGATCATTATTTAAAAAAATGTCATCACCCACAGAAAAGGTAAATTAGATTAGGTGGTCATATTGTATAGAAGATAACTGCTTTGAAAAACAATTTAGTTTTAGCCATCATGGAATTAATGAATAATTAACTGTAACAAAATGACATCAACAAGCAGTGTGTTGTTGATTTTGCCTGATAAAACATTTCCGCATTCTATCATATGGGGTACACTCCACTGCTATAAATTGAGAAAACAAACTGACATGCATGATACAGAAAAACAAAACTGTTTTGCCTAATAGAACAAATATGGTTTCGGAATACACGAGATACACTAGAGTAAAACCACAGTTGTGGTATGTTACTCTACTGTTGACTCTACTGTTGGAGATACACCCTCGATAGAGCAAATACAATTCATATTTTGCATTTTACAACTTTGGCAATGCAGTCAACTGATTCAGTATACATATTTAGGGAGGAAGGATTCAACCCAATGGTGGCTGGATTTGTGGAAGACTTGGATTCTGAAGATGAGAGATTGGCTAAAGCTTCAGCTGCCGTTGCTGCAAGCTTTAATGTTGACATTTCCAGTGATGAAGATGACACACCGGCAGTGGTTGCTGATGATGTTACAGATTTTGAGAATAACATTGTGAATGGCATGGCATCTAAACAAACTGGTCTGTTATTATTCAATTCTACATCAAGTGCAATACAGAATGCGCCTAGTAATATAAAAGAGGCTAGCGCACGAACGAGAAAATCTACAACGGGAGATGAAAGTGATGATATTGATGATCACCAAGGTAACGGTGTTTCTCTAGAGATGGCAGATGTAGAAGATTTCATGCCTGAAAAGGTGAGTAGTACAGATTTGAAAATAATAAACTATTTCCTGTTCACTGTGAGATGCCGCGTTATGCATGAAGTCAAACGTAAAAACAGGACAAACAAAGGTCATAGTGTCGTAGTGGCGACAAACATAGTTTGGGATTCAACAAACGCAAAAGTATTTTGGGGATATTTCCATCCATGCTTAATTAAGGTGCTGTACACATTTGATGATAGTCAATTTCGATGAAGTAAGGGTATTCAAATGTAATATTCCCCTGTTAAAGGTTACCTTTTCGATGTGAAATGAAGAAATTTGAATTCAAAATTGAATCTTTCGATGTGTGAGCAGATGTTCGACGCGAGTCTTTTACACAACTCGTGAGATCTCACAGTTGAACGGAAAATCACGTATTGGCTTATTTATTTATAGAAAATTACCATGTGACACAGAAACTCGCAAACATTTATTGTCCATACTTCTGTGGAGTTCAAGCCCTGTGATTTTATTGAGAAGTATTTAATTTTTAGGGACACATCTTTGAACTATTCAAGTACTGAATAAGAATTAAATTCAGTGGCGATTCTTGATGATAATATACCAATTTGAAAATATCTGTAATCAATTATTGTTAATTAATGCTTTGAAATAATGGTATATACGATAATTGCTAAATGTGTGTATATGATTTTGATGGCCGAAAGACCCAATAAATTGTAAAGTCAGTATTCTTCTAGCTTGAAACCTTCTCGCTAACATGATTCATTTTTGTTACTGCATGTTTTTTTAGACGAAACCAAAGAAGAAAACAGTTGATTCACCTCAACTGAAATTTGACGACAATGATTTGAATTTTCTTGAAGCTCATTGTGGTGTGAGTAAAGTGTCTACACCTTCAACACCAAGTAAGTACAACAATATCAAACTGTAACCATGGTGACAATCAAGTTGTATCAAATCTATTATCATCAATGATTTATATTACAAACTCTATGTAAAAGGTGTAAAAGCAAAATATTTAGTATAATTTCTCTGTCAACTGAGTTGCAACATTCATTTTGCAGATATGTGTACTGTAAAGCCATTTACTTCCAATGGTATTTAATTTCACAGTTTTGATTTTTTGAGCAATTTCACTAGGTTTTAGTAAGTCCATGAATTTGCAAGGGAAAATGATGGGATCTATTATTATGTTCGTGTAGATTTAACCCTTATTCTGCCAGCCTCATGTACCTTTACATTTACTTGACAAATACATGTAAGGGTTAATTTATCAAATTTTACTTATTAGTGAAAATAGCCAAGTTAAAACCCAGAGTAATTAATGCATTTACAGTAGTGTATATTTTTTCTGATCACAATATTAATTCTCCACCTGCTATGCATATAGCTCTATTGGGCACTGAATAAATATTTATTTTCTGTGGCCAGGTTGAGATATTATATAATTATATTGTTGAGTAGTTATTATAACAAGTTTAGGTCGATGGTAATATGATTGTAGAAGTAAAGCTGTCATTAGATGTAATTTCAAACACAATCAAAGAAAGCTTAGAAAGAACTCCCCTGTGCTGAGAGTTTTGGAGACACATTAAAAATAATTCAAAATTACTTATACTTGATATATTGATGGAATAGCTGAAAACTAATTATGCAAATAAGGTAACTAATATGAACAGATTTAGGTGTAAAACTAATAAGGTCTGCACAATGTACCAAGTTTCATTGGAATGTGATTAGAACCAAAAAAATATTAATTATTAATATGCTAATTAGAGAATTAATATGAACAGATTTTAACCCAAAATTAATCAGGCTGTCTATTGTCCTAGAGCATTTATGTACCAAGTTTTATTCAAATGTGATGATCAATACTTGAGATATCAGTATTAATTAATTATGTTAATTAGGTGATTAAGAAGCATAAATATTTACCAAAAACTAATATGGTGCATAGTCTTAGGTTCATTGAAATGTGATGGGTACTATTTAAAAGTTTCATTGAAATCCAATGAGTGGTTTTTAGACATCAGTACAACAGCCATAGAACAGCAAAAAATTAACTAATTATGCAAATTAGGTAATTAATAGGCACAATCTTTTATCTCAAAATTA